AGATTTTATGTATTGACTTGTAGCGCATTCTATTTGTCAAATCAAGTCATACGGCCATCGAAATTCAGATAAAAAGCAAACTAGCCCTTCATCGAAATTCAGATAAAAAGCAAACTAGTCCTTCATTGGAGTTGCTGCAAAGCCATTGTAAAAAGCCATGGATGTTAGAAAATAATATTTGTGGATACTATGATATTATTTCAAACAACTTACCACATCTGGTATTGCATTACACTTAATCTTCGCAGAAATGCATATGAAAAGTATTACTATTATTTTTCTTAATTTACGGTTATGGGAATTTTGCCTCATGGATGTTAAACCGCTTGTGCAAGATTATATCACTTTTAAAATGACATTATTAAGACATAAATCAATTTTTGTGCAACTCTAAAACACATGCTACTGAAGATTACACCATGCTAATTGGTTCTTTCCCTGTTCTGGAGTTCAATGAATTGCAAGGAAAATCTTATTTCACAGCCATATCACGGCATTTGGCTTCTATTCTCTATCCCTGTGCTGAAAGTGTCTTCAAAGGAAACTAAATGCTAAGAGAAAGTAATTTACTTATTTGCAAATATTATGATTGTCTACATAGAAAACCCATGAGAATGATAGAAATGATGACAAGTAAGAGAGTTTGAAATGTAGCAAGTCACAGAATTAATAAATATATCAACATGAATGGTTTTCCTTGAGATCAGTCATGACTGGTTAAAATGTAAATAATTAAATAAAGCACATGGATAATAGCAAAAATGATGGCAGAAATACAAGTTTTCATGTTTTATCCTGGTCTTCAATCTCAAAAATACAAACTCTTCTATGTGGAGATTTCATGCACACTGCAGACTTAATAATGCAAATTGAACTCATCATTATCATGTCCCTCTATCCTACTTCACCTTATGGATTCCCTTGCTCAACTCATGACATTCCCATGTCCCTATACCCATGTTGAAAGTCTGAAGTTATTGGCTTCATTACTTGAATATCTCCTCTCCTTACACCTCAAATCTATATTTTTGCTAACTTTGCCTCTAAATGTCTTCATAGACTTCAGTTATAATTTTCATAAAATAAAATGCATGTATTTTAATGTATATTTGTTGAGTCTTGATAAATGTATCCACCTATAGAAATACCACTTTAATTAAGCTATGAAATATTTTCAAAATCCCAAAAAATGTACACATAACTTCTTAGAGTCAGAGTCATCCTCCCAAGGCAACCATTGAACTGAGTTTTATCACCACAATTTAGATTTACCTTTTCTAGAACATTAATAAACAGAACCATACTGTGCGTATTCTTTTGTATGTGACTTATTTTGTTCAACACGATATTTTTTCAGATTCATTCAGGTTGTGTGTAACATTAATTCATTAATTTTTTATTGCTGGATACACTAAGCCAAATATTTCTTAGGTAATTTTGTCTTCACCAATGCTTAGGTTACAAATCTCTTTCTAATTTGTATCTTTCCTATTACTGGCATGATTTGCTTTCATTATGACTTTTTTGAATGTCTCTTTCATACTGTTTCAGAGCACTATTATAAAAAGTCCCCAATCTAACTATGCAACTCCTCTACAAAATATCCATCAACAGATTCTCTCAAATGATAGATTAAAAGAATAAGCCCCTTACCATAGCATCCAGGATCATTCAAGATCTGTTCTTTTCCTCCTTTGCCTGCCTTGTCTCATTATGATTCAGAACTTCTTAAGTACATTTACATTTCATCATATTTTATTTTAGCTCTCCTTTGTTTTGCTCTACATTATTTGCTTTTCAAGCCTAAAAGAGTTTTCTTTGCTTCTTTGTTTAGGTGAGAGTTTCTTCACAATTTGAATAGGAAAGTATAAGGCAGAAAAGACATGGTAATTTAGGACAAAGAGAATAGTGTTCAAAATGTTGATGCATATTTTAAAAAGCATGATGAGATAGTGTGTATGGATGGGTAGAAATCATGAAAGTATTTCTGATATTGTTTCAGCTAGATCTCTCAGGGGGTTTTGAAGGAGTTGACATTGAAAGTCTAGGCTGGGTTGACATCAAATGTTCTGCAAATTAATTCATTGGCCATTATTCAGCAAAAGTGATGGAAAATGATTGAAACGTTCTGAATGTTATATTAGTTATCTATTGCTGCTGCAACTAAGTACCACAAATTTAGTGGTTTAAAACAACACTAGTTTATTATTTCACAGTTTTACAGGTCAAAAAGTCCAATTCGATTCACTTAATTCATATGACCCAAGAGTTACAAGGCTAAAGTCAAAGTATTTATTGGCTGGGCTCTTCTCTGGAGGCTTTGGGCTTCTATTTTCTATCATTGTGCTGAAAATGTATTCAATATGAGGAAGAATGGGGATACCAATAAGAAACTAAATGCTAAGAGAAAGTAATTTACTTCTTTGCAGATATTATGATTACACAGAAAACCCATGAGAATGATAGAAATGATGGCAACCTAACAGAGTTTGCTAATGTAGCAAATCACAGAATGAATAAATATATAAACACGAATGGTTTTCCTGGATATCAGCCATGACTAGTTAAAATGTAAAGAATTAAATAAAGCACATCGATAATACCAAACATGTGCAAACTCTGTTAGGCTGCCATCATTTCTATCATTCTCATGGGTTTTCTATGTAGACAATCATAGTATCTGCAAATAAGTAAATTACTTTCTCTTAGCATTTAGTTTCTCATTGGTATCCCCATTCTTTTTCATATTGAAGACACTTTCAGCACAATGATAGAAAATAGAAGCCAAATGCCTCTTTCTCATATTGAAGACACTTTCAGCACAATGATAGAGAATAGCTTTCCAGTTCATTCAGCTTGTTAAAAGAATCCAGTTTCTTATACCTGTAGAACTGAGGTCCCTATTCTTTAATGGCTGTCAGCTAGGGCTGGCCTCTAGCTCCTAGAGATTTCTTTCTGTTCCTTATATATGGCCCTCTCACTTCAGAACAAGCAATGGCTCATCAAATCCTTTTCACACTTGGCATCTCTCTGACTTCACTTTTTGCTGCTTATCTTCTACCACGTCTCTTCTGCTCACATCTAGACAAACTTTTTTTGTTTGCTTTTAATGACCTGTCTAATTACACTGGGCCCATCCAGAAAATCCAGGATAATCCCCCCTTTTACAGTCCATAACCTTAATTACATCTGCACAGTCTCTTTTGACATGTAACATAACATATTCACTAGTTCCTGGAGATTAGTATGTGGATGTCTTCGGGAGATGAAATTTGATAAGGTCAGATTTAGGTTGTAAAAGATGCTTATAGATGACTTACATCTCCACGAAAATTCATGCATTGAAACTTATTTATAAGTGGAGTAATTGAGAGGTTATTAGTCCTTTATAATAAGCACCCTCCACCTTCCTCAGTGAGGTCCCTTGTTACTTCTACCACGTGAAAACACAGCAAAAAGGCAACCCTCTAAAAACCAAGAAGTGGGTCCTCACCACACAGCAAATCTGCTGGAGCCTTTATCTAGAACATGCCAGCCTCCAGAAGTGGGAGAAATAAATTTCTATTGTTTATAAATTACCCCGTCTATGGTATTTTGTTATAGCAGCCTAAATGGACTAAGAGAGAAGGTTTATTCTGGTAACTGGGTGGAAGTTATATGTGGACATAGCAGATGCCTCTGTTGCCTGCATTATATTCCTCAATCCACTTGTGATTTCAGTCACATCTTGTGAGATCACATTCACCAAATTTTCCCACTGTCTTACCTCAATTGCAAGCTGTAAAATTTATAATTTGCTCAAGGAACTTTTTATTGCTGTAGTTTATCCATAAGCATAGCCCAGAAGTCCTAGTGGGGAGGTAGAATAGGGGCGTTTTAAGGCTCCCAGGTTTAGATCCTCATTTGTGAAGGATGAAAGTTGATTGATAAATGCACCCCTCCCATTTTGCCTGCGATGAGTCTTCACATTTGTCAACACTCCCAGTGGATTTGAGCCTGGTTCCCACACCAGCAACTCCTTCCCTAAACACTGCTGCCTGTGATCACTTCCCAAATAGATTGCCTGTCAGTACCCATCTCCTTGTCTCAAGTTTTGTATTTGAGATAATTTTAACCAAGACAAAAAGCAAGCTGTCATATTTATAGGGAGGCCACTATCATATTTTATTATGAGGGTTTGAAAGTCTTAACCAAGGCAGTGGCAAAGGGCTAAATGAAAGAAGATAGTTTTAAGACATGTAACTGATTATATTTAGAAACATATTGACTGTGGAATGGAGAGAGAGAGAGGATATTTGAGAAGGCTAACTTGCAAGGAAGGCAGGGGAAGAAAAGTGAGGTAGTATTACCCAATATGGACTTTAAACTAATCTGAAACAATGATAAACCTGGACACTATCTAGATTTAAGCATCAAATATGCAGTAAGTACTTAATTGCTCCAAAGTACTTCATTAGTATATTAATTAACTAATTCTAAGGTTACAGAGTATGGAAATCTTAAACCCTTATGTAGTGCTTACTACAAGCCAGGTACTCTTCTAATCACTTTATGATTAATATCCTCTTAATATCCTTATGGGTAGATACTATTAAATGACCCCTATTTTAAATATAAGAAAACTGAGACACAGAAAAATTTAATAACTTTCCCAAGTTTACACAGTTCTAAGTAGTAGTGCTGGGGTTTGAACCCAGGGCCAACATGCTCTTGAGTTGGAGATTTTAGTTCTACACTATTCTGTATCTCTTAATATTAACAATACTAGTATGTTTTCTAGTAATACTAACATAAGTATGTGTGATCATGGGAGATTGAAAACATGGTCACAATATTTTACAGTCCTCCTATCAAAAGCTGGAGGCTATTTCCCCAAATCTTGAATTCAGGCTGGCCCTGTGATTTGTTTGACCAATAGGTGTAGGCAAATTAAACATTATGTGAGTTCTAGAGAATAGCCCCAAGAGTCCTTGTTGTTTATGCTTTTTCTCTCTTTTAAGGAAGCTAAGTCACACTGCTGATAAGAGACCAACTTGAAAGAGGGAGGATCTGCTAATAGCTAACACCACAACTCCAGATATACGGGAGTCAGGTCATCATAAACCATCCATTTTTCTGCCGAGTCACAGTAGACTGCAACTCCATGAATGAGACAAGGAGGTATCGGTAACAACAAAACAAAACAAAACAAAACAAAACAAAACAAAACAATAACTGCCTGGTGTAACCACAGAATCTTAAGAAATAATAAATCATTTGAATCCAATGTTTTGAGTCAGTTTGTTATACAATGGTAGATAACTGACTATGATTAACAGAGAGGCTACTCACAGTAAGAAACAAAGCTAGCTGCTGTGGGAAATAACAAGGTAGTAAAAATATGTTGCTAAAATTGAGAGGTAGCAGTAAGACTTCACCTTGAGGAAGACAATGATGATGGAATAATTAAAAACTATAAAAACAAATCTAGAATATTTTAAAAGATTCCTTCAGATAAGATCTTAGAGTGGAGAAATAGTAACCAATGAAGAAACGTTTGCTACTAAACTACATGTTCTTCTTGTCTGTGAAACTATTGCAAATTCACATTATAAATAGTGTGTTTTATGAACAGTTATTTTAAAGATATAAAAAGAACTGAAAGGAAGAAGAGCTTTGAAGTCAGATAAGACAATATTGTAATACTTACAATTATCTGGCTGGTTTTGAAACAGTTACTGGAGGTCTTTTTACCTCAGTTTCTGGTCTGTTAAATGGGAATATTGGCATCTGATTTATAGACTTGTTTGTTAGTTAAGTACACTGACATAAGTAGACAGCTATTTTAGTATCTAGTTTAAAAATTGGTGTGAAAAAATTGTACTTTACTTCATCCTCAACTTGTTGTAGGAGAACTTAAAGAAATATCCATAGTTCATTATATCACAACGAATATAGTGCCACTTTCTCAATTATATTTCTAATGAATTAGAATTTTCCATTGCAACTCTCACACCGAGGTACGCCTAAAACAGTGTGGCTTTCATTTTAGCTAAACCAATTGATAATAAATTAAAATATTTATTATTATAAAATAATAAACAAAATAATATATAATATTAATTAAAAATATATATTATTACTTTTTAAAAAAACATTTCTTATGTCTTCCAGACTATAGGGCAAAAATTGGGGGCCACAGAATGCTTGCTCAATCAACTTTGCTCATCCCAAATTACAAAAATCGCCTCAAAAAATGTTGATGATAATTTAATTTTCTTCACTCTCCATGAAGATGTTAGATAATGCTCACTCTGGGCAAGGATAAAAGGAAGACTCATCAATTATGTTACTAATTTTATTCTTGCAAAAGAATTTTCTTTTAATTGAAAAAGCTGAATATGAGCCAGGCATGGTGGTTCACGCCTGTAATCCCAACAGTTTAGGAGGCTGAGGTGGGCAGATCACTTGAGGTTGGGAGTTCGAGAGCAGCCCGGACAACAGAGCGAACCCTGTCTCTACTAAAATTACAAAAAATTGCTGAGAGTGTTGCTGGGTGCCTATAATCCTACCTACTTAGGAGGCTGAGACATGAGAATCGCTTGAACCCCAGAAGCGGAGGCTGCAGTTGGCATGGGCAATAGAACCAGACTGTGTCTTTAAAAAAAAAAAAGGAAAAGCTGAATATGACACTGTAGGTGCTACTATTCAATTCTGACTGTCTACATTCCTGTACAGCTAGAATGACTATAACTGACAAAATAGTATTAAGATGTATTTATCCATTCTGTATGACCCTATTGTTTGTAATTACAGAGATCATTGAAGCCACGTATATGAACATCAATAGCAGCACTCCTTCCCAAGATTTACTCGACGTCCCACATTTTCTTTAATTATCAATAATGCTCTGCTTTTACTCTAGGTATATACACACAGATAAACCTATAAACTCTTAAGAGTCATTTGAAGAAAGTCTATCATCAGAAGCAGCAATGTTAAAAATAATTTCTCTTATATGTATGATTTTATTCATATTCCAAACAGTTGATAAAAACCACAAGTAACTAAATTTGATAATTTAATATGCAGAAAAGTTCTATCATGTGAAAATGGTATGTTTCTGCCATTGGCAAATGGTATTACATAGCACTCCATGCTTTATTTTAGCTTTGAAAAACATAAAAGTAAATGCAAAATATATTTACCCATCTTGATGGCCCCTGGAATATTTATTTTTGTGCCTCCTCCAAAAGATTTTTGTAATTTAAGTTACGTGTTTAGTTGTGTGTAAATATTTTATAAAATTCCTTAGAAGTAAGCAAATAAAATCACTGATAACCAGAAAAAAAAGCACAAATGAATCCCTCCATGCAGCTCCACACCTTCTGTGCCCCTGAAAAACAAGAAAAGGTAAAGTAAACAAAATCCACACGAGCCTCTTGCAGTAGTAAAAGGAATAGACCCGGAGTCAGGGAATCAACTTTGCTAAGTTGGTGTAAGATAGATTACTTGTATGATTTGGGGCAGCATATCTCTAAGACAAGATAATTGGGCACAGTATTTCTTAAGATTCTTGATGCTACTTTTGCTTTAAAAAATTATAAAAATATTTCTAATAAAAATACAAAGAATATTTCCTGTTAATTTATATGCTACACTGAAATTTTAAAGACACTTAATCTGGAAAGGAATAGACAAAGCTATTTAAAAGCCTTCTAAAATAAATAGAGGTAATTTTACTTTAGGAAGTGGAAATAATGTCTTTTATGTTTTTGTTTGTTTTTAATCAAAATTATTTTTAGACTGCTATATGTAAGCATAGTTTATTCCTTGTTTTGACCAAGTGACATTTTAGGTATATTTAAGAAATTATGGGCAATTAGAACTTAATTAAAATGTTGTGAATTGAAGGGTTTAAAAAGGTGATGTGACTTCTGGTTTTTTATTCTGCATATAAGGAGTTTGGACGTTGCCACAAAAACAAGTAAAAAGCTTTAACAAGTGTAAAGGTAAACTGAAAAATCAATTCTTAGATCTGTAAGAGAAGTAAGGCCACAGAGCAAACCACTGTCCTCAAAATTGGAGAGAGAGAACAGCAGAAACAGATAAATCACAACTTACTGGAGCAGAAATCCATGATCAGAGACCTACTGGGGAACAAATACCAGGGGAGAAAAACTTAAACAAATTTCTGGAAGGCCAGCCCTACACTTATTTGGGTTTTATCTTTAGGGGATCTACCAGATCCTCACATTGAATACTGGAGAAAAATCTCCTTGTGTTTCTAGAAGAGAGAGGAGGAAAAGGAACTGTTTTTGAAACATGCCAGAGCATTCTGTTCTTCTTAACAAGGCTGCTGTTAGGAAAATCTATTTTGCCAAAGCCTAATCAGCTGAGGTTACCAGAACCTATATTACCTGGGGGAAGGGAAACACCCAGCTCCAACTTCTGTAGCCTTCACTGTGGGGGAAGAGAAATACATAATTCCAGTTCACTTCAGCCATTTTGTCTCACCTAAAGCAGGAGAAATTGAGAAGCAACAATAAAGTTCACAGTCCAGGGACACAGGTTCACAGAAAGACTGAGACCTAATCATAGGGCTATGCAATGTTTCTTCCATCACACCTTACCACTACATTATAAAAGACCTACTTACCACAGTTCCTTTTAGCTGGTATTTAATGTCTGTCTTTAAACAAAAATTACAAGGCACACAAAAAAGGGAAAGACAAACAGTTGAATACATGAACAGGTATAACCAGACTCACATATGTCAGGAATGTTGGAATTATCAGAGCAGGATTTTTAAAAAATTAGGATTAATATGTTAAGTGTATTAATGAAAAATAGTAGTCATCATACAAGAGCAGATAGATAATTCAAGCAGAGAGATGGAAATTCTGAGAAAGGATAAAAAAGAAATGCTAGAGATAAAAACACTGTAACAGAAAGAACGCTTTGATGTGCTCATTAGCAGAATCAACATGGCTGAAGAAAGAATCTCTGAACTGGATAATATGACCATAGAAACTTACAAATTAAAAAGCAAACAGAAAAAGACTGAAAACAGAAAAAACCAGAATATTCAAGAACTGTGGAGCCACTATAAAAGATGGGAGAGGACAAAACCTTGAACATCACAAGGAAAACAGTTTTATAAAGGCTTTCTCCATTCAACAATATAAATTGGGTTTTAAATATAAAGCTGCTAAATAAGTCATTGTATATAAATTCCTTATCTTAGTCTTTTTAGAAATATGATTTTTAACAAAAACAAAAATTATGTTTTAAAATATTTTTAACAAGTAGTAGAAAAAGAAAAATGGTTTAGGTAAAAAATCCTGTTATCTATATAAAGAGAGGAAGAATATCAGAGCATAAGTGAAGGTCAAATATAAACTTTCACTTTTCTTATTTATAATTTAGCATAGTTTATTATAAACTATAGCAACAATGTATTCATGTATGCATACTTCTGCATGTGTATATATGTACATACATTATATATATATGCTTATGTATAAGTGAAATTGATGACAATAATGATAAATGGGATGGGTGAAGAATTAGAAATATTTTGTTATTATAAGGTATTTGTACTCCAAGTGAAATGGTATAGGGTTTTTTTTTTTTTTTTGGTGGGGGGAATGGAGTCTCCCTCTGTCACCCAGGTTGGAGTGCAGTGACGCAACCTCAGCTCACTGAAAGCTCCGCCTCCTGGGTTCATACCATGCTCCCACCTCAGCCTCTCTAGTAGCTGGGACTACTGGTGCCTTCCACACGCCCAGCTAATTTTTTGTATTTTTAGTAGAGACAGGGTATCACCATTCACAGGATGGTCTCGATCTCCTGACCTTGTGATCCGCCGCCCTTGGCCTCCCAAAGTGCTGGGATTACAGGCGCGAGCCACTGCACCCGGCCGGTATAGTGTTTTTGACAGTGGACTTCATTTTGTTGTAAATTATATAGTAAATTCGAGGGCAACTACTAAAAAGGAAAAAAGAAATTAAAACAGAAGTATAATGTTATGCTAAAAAATGAGAGAAAATGAAATCATAAATGATAAATAAAATCAGAAGAGACAAAAAATTGTAAAAGACAAAAATGAAAACCAAGGGCAATAAATAGAACACTGTAAAAAATATTGTAGAGATCATTCAATAATCACATTAAACATCATTGTTCTAAATACAATTAGGAGATAGAGATTGTCAGAGTGGATCAGAAACAAGACTCAACTGTATGTTGTCTATAAGAAATCCATCTTGAACATGAAAACACTTATAGATTAAAAAGTGAAGGAATGGAGAAAGATATAGCACGCTAACACTTACCCAAAATCAGTGAGAGTAACTATACTAATTCCAGGGAGAGAAGGCTTCAGAGCAAGGATAATTATCAGGGATAATAAGGGGCATATGTAATAATAAAGGGGCTAATACTTCATTAAGACATAGCAATCCTTAACATGCATGTCCTTAGAGAACACCAATGCATGTTAAGCAAAATACAAGAGTGCTGCAAATTCTGCACATGTATCCCTGAACTTGAAGTACACACACACACACACACACACACACACACACACACACACAGACACCCATCAAAAAATAAAAAATAAATAAATTATATGATCACATTAACAGTTGAAGAAAAAGCATTTGACAAAATCCAGCACCTTTTGATGATAGATTGTTTTGTTTTGTTTTCAGAACAAACAGAGGAGGACCTACCCTATTTAATTTTGGAAGAAGAAAATCTACAGCTAACATCATACAGTCATGTGTCACATTATGACAGACACACATTCTGAGAAATGTGTCAGTAGGCAATTTTGTTGTTGTATGAATATCATAGAGTGTACTTATGCAAACCTAGATAGTCTAACCTGCTACACACCTAGACTATAAGTTGTAGCCTATTGCTTCTAGGCGACAAGCTTATTTTGAATATCACTATACTGAATACTGTAGGCAATCGTAACATAATGGTAAGTGTTAGTGTATCTAAACATGCCTAAATACAGAAAAGGTACAGTACGAATGTGGCATTCTAATCTTATGGAACCATGATTATTAATGCAGTCTGTCATTGACCAAAATGTGGTTAAGCAATCCATGGCTTTATTTAATAGTGAAAAATTAGAAGCTTTGGCACTCACATCAGGAATAAGATAAGGATTTCCTCTCTCATCACTGCTTTTCAGTGTACTGGAAGTCCTAGTTAATACAAGAAGTATGTTTATAGATAACATGATTGTCTAGAGAGAAAATCCAAACTAATTGCTCCTCGTGGAATTAATAAGCAAGTATAGAAAAGTTGCAGGATGCAAGTTTAATAT